TAGAGGTTGCAAAAACTAATTAGTTACTGCTGGCCTCTTGGCACAGGAATCTCAGGTACCCAGTGCAGCAGGGATTTTTGAGTAACAATTGGGAGTGCAGCTTATGGATCCAGTTTTGGGAAGGATCTTATCACATGTATTGACTCATTGCATGGAAGAGAGTTTTGAAATTTGATAAGTTAGATTGAAACTATTTGACACAAATGCGACCCTGCTACCATGACTGCCATCAAACAGTAGCACCCCATTCTCTGAGAGATCTTGGGTCACATTTGTGATGTTTGAAAAGATGTGAAGATTCCAGTTATTACTGGGAGGTGAGGCGATCTGTAGTGAACTCGTGACATTCCACCGAAGACTAAAAAATGGACAGAGCAATAATTAGAAAGTGATTATTTCTCTCTCTTCCCTAAAGTTTCTTTGAAAGTAGCTAATATCTGTTGTTCTTGGTTGATAATCTTTGGCAGAGGACTTGATGTCTCTCAAAAAGCAGAAAGAAATTACGTGAATATGTAAATGGTGCAAATGTTAGAACCATATATCCTTTGGTATGTCCAGGACCTCAGCAAATACAACTAATGTGCGTTTCATTAGAAAAAGCTTTACATAGCCTGTTTTCCTGAGAATCAGTAGTACAACTGAAGAAGTAGGTCCAAATAAGTTTGGTTTTCATGTTGTTATCAAATTCTTACAAGAAGTGCTTGAATCTATTCCCATCACTAATTTGGCTAGATTACCTATGTTTTCTTATTACCTGTGAAAGTTCAGTCCTTTTAAAAATATGAAAAGGCTATCTTGGCAGCTTCTGGGAATAAACCAGGGAGAGATTTTTGTTTTAGAATGTATCTTGTCATTAATCAGAGGCAAGTGGTCAGTGTTGAGTAAAACTGTTTTACCTGCACAGTAGTCTCCTAGTAACTTGCTCTGGGATCCGTATTTTCTGTTGGTCCCTTGATAGTCAAATACATTGGGTTCGTTTATGTACAAGTCATAGTGACAAGGTGGTTCAGAAAATAAACAATCATTTTTCTAACAAGTGGGTAAAGTTTTCCTTCCATATCCTTGAGTAGAAAGGGTGATTTTGTATTACAGTTAAGAAGGTAGGATAGCTTCATTGGAAGGCTATAATTTCTAAACCTTTACATTTAAACACACATTGGAAATCTCCAGGCAGTAGCTATGTTACTGAAGCTGGTAAACATCACACAATATAGTTGTGCTGGTTTTCCACAAGGGACAGTTTTCTACTTCACAAAGCTATAATGTCATGCAAAGTTCATTTTACTGGTAAGCATCATTGAGCCAAAATTGAGTTCAGAACTCTGGGGAAAATAAATGTAAGCATTTATCTGCAGTGCTATTTAAATTGGCTTGAAATTTTGACTTCTTGGTTATCTTGCTCATTCACATCTTGTTTGCTGTTGTCTGCTGTAGGGCTCCTAAAGGTTGAGAAGTTAGCCTTCTCAGTGGGGGGTAGGAGGTGAGTAGGAAATCATAGCTGCAAAACTGATGAGTATTTATGTAACATGTAACCATTGCAGTCAAGAGAAACATAATGGCAGGGAATTTTATTTTTTTCAAAATTTTTGACTTCATGTTTGTGAGCATTTTGCTCAAAACCATTTGTGACCAATCATTACACCAAATACTGCTGTGTTATTCTGGCTTATAGCATCAGTTCAAGAGGCTTTCGAAAGCATGCAATATTTTCCTTAGTATTTCTGAAAATCCTGATTGCCTAATTGTTGCTTAGGCTGCAGTTAGAAATGTTTTTATTTTTCCACCATATTGAAGAGAAATGGCAATAGTCAAAAAGTATGTTACACCACTAATGCCATTATAGGTTTTAATGAATACAAAAATCAAATGGTAGATGCTGGACTCATTTATTTCAAAGGTGTAATCTCATTTCAGTATGCCTAGTGTGTATTTATAGAGTTTTTTCTTTTTATTTTCTTTTTTTTTCCTGGAACGAAATCAGAGTTCAAGACAGAAAATGTTCTTTAATAAAAAATAAAGGCTTTCTGATTAGGCTGTGTGGATTGGCATATTAGAGTAAAGTTAAAAAGTACTAATAAGACTTACTAGGCTGCTTATCTGTGTTAGTGTTTCAAAAGGAAGTTTATGTGTGTATGTACAGTGTATTATGTTTGTTTAATTTACTAGATTATATTTACTTTGAAGTTTACATCTTGCTTAGAATATCTTTTTTATTATAGTAATCTCAATCCTATATGATTAGCACTATAGGACTACAGATACATTGAAATTTTAAATTCATACTGCTCTCTAGTGGGGAATACTTTCAATGCAAAAAGATGTATATTAATGCACATAATGTATATAAACTAGGATGCCTAGTTTTTTAGAATAATTCATTAAAAGTAGTGCTATCCTATTAATATTTTAATCCTTGCAACACTTTCATTAAAGATTGAATTTCTTAATTAATTTATTTTTTATGGATGAATTATTGACTCTCTGGAGTGAATAATATCCCCAGAAGGCTGGGATGATGATGGAATGTTGATGTATTGTTGCTACTTTCTCAGAAGGAGGATGCTTTTCCTACTAGGAGAAACATGCTGTAGATCTGCTATAGAATTATCTTGGCTTTTCTCCTAAGCTTCCCCAGTTTCATAACTTCTTATGGCATGACTGAGGTTATAAAAATTACTATAATTACTGTTAACATAATAACTTTGGTTTAACGACTACTTCCATGTTGTTTTTCTCATGAATTTTGCTTTAGAATGAACTGTTTAGTCTGCTTTCTCATCTCTTGATTTACACAGCTAAAATTCTAAATAATAAAGTTGAATGTGATCAAAAGCAGAAATAATAATGCTGACTGAAATGATTTCAATTTACAGCTGATGCAGACCTCTTCTAAGAGCCCAGTCTGTACTTTTTATTACTCTAATGTTGAGTGAAAATGATTCTAGTTAGCACAAAAGAACATGATATTAATTCATTAGTAATAAAATCTGAAAACTTGTTTTGAAACTTGTTTTTATATTAGTATGTTTTCAGATTTGTATCTGTAAATAGGTTTGCCTCTACTATATGATTCCAATTCTGTAAATGTGTTTTATTTCATCAGAGAACAGTGAAAGTTTTGACTGACTGTTAATCACATGAAACTTCCAACATTTGAATCTCTCAAGAATGATTTGCACTGTTCTTGTATAATCAGATCCAAATCTGAGGGCTTGTTTAAACTTATTTTTAGATGCTGAACCTTATCTGGAGCTTAGATTAAAGAAATCTGTAGCCCATTTTCTTGTGTTGCTGAAAGGATCTTTTTTATCTCTAAATTATTTGTTAGTTAGAGACCATTGTGTTGTATTTAAGTTTGCATCAGGTTTTTTTTTCCATGCAGAATACAGATTAGATTATTTGGCTAGATCTTCATTTATTCATTAAGTCTGGGAGAACAAAGTAGTTTAAATATTTATATGCTATATAAAGATCTCATCAAGATGCTAAGTTGTTATAGCACTTGGTAATCCTTGAATAGTAGATCAGTTTTTCAGAGCACAGCGCGCTTCTATGTGGTTTTTGCTCACCTTTAATCATGGAAGCTCATGTTTACATTGACCTCACTTGAACTTCTGCAGATGGGATTTTCCTCTCATTTTTGTACTAGTTGCAATTTGGTACTGTCTGAATCTAAATTCTCCAGTTTATCCTTAACTTGCAGTTAAGATAAAGAAATAGAACATGTTTATTATTTATCTTCAGATGTTTTTGAAGCAGACAAGTTATACTGTTTTTAGAGTTTGTCTTGAGATCATTCAAAGGAAGTGGAGAGAGAATGCTGAGAGCTTGCTAAATACCTAAGCTAATTAATAAATTCAAGAGTGAAATCTGTGCAATTAGCTAACTGAAATGTAGGGATTTTATTTTTTCTTCTACTAATTAAACACATCAAAATATAAAAACATAGGAAGCAGAAACTTTATCTCCCCCACACTATTTATCAATTTAGGCGAATTAAAAAATGTCTTGCATTTCTAAGTGCTGTAACTTAAAAAAAAAAAAAAAAAGAAAAAGAAATAAAAATTACAGTATTTGAATGTAGGAGTGTACGTAATGAACATAACCATAGGTTGTCAGCCTCTCAGTGTTTAACTACTCGTATTTATAGTTTATATTTAAAAAATCAAACTATTATACTTCTTGACTTAGTCGTAGAGAGAGGCATAAACTATGCCTATGTCTGCTGTAATAACTCCTGTATTTCTGTGGTAGGTTGACCTTAGTTGACAGCCCTGTCCCCACCCCGCTGTTCATTACTCCCTGTCCTGGAGAGGACAGGAAAAGTAAGATGGAAAATCTTGAGGGTTGACATAAAGATAGGAAGATCATATTACTGTTAGTAATATGCCTGTTACTGTTACAGGCAAAATAGACTTGGTGAAAATTAATTTAATTTATTCATGATTAAACCAGAGTAGCATAGTGAGAAAGGAGGATGAGGAACATTAAAATAGCTTCTCCCTTCCTCATCTTTTCCCACATGTTCAATCCTTCATTCTCACCTCCTCAAAGGTGAGAGGACACTCCTCAAAGCCTCCCCACAGCAATAGAGGGAGAAGGAAAATGAGGATTGTGGTCAGTTAGTTATTAGAATTTTGTCTTTGCTGCTACTTGCTCCTCAGACTCTCTTCCTGATATAATGTGAGGTCTCTCCCATAAAGTCTTCAGACTGATGTAGTGTGCATACTTCCCATATGTTGCAACTGGCCAAGCACTGCTCCGACGTGGCTCCATATTACACGTTCATTTGAGTGGCTCTGAAGTTACTCAAGTTACATAGCAGAACTATGAAACAGAAATGAGAAGTAAAATACATAAGCAGAAATTTAATATTAAACCAGAAAAAATACAAAAAAAATTTTTTTGGCCTTTTACAGGTTTACAAATGTAGAAATACTTTTTTACATTAGTTTGCATTACTCATCAATAATTATCTCAATTATGCTCTTCCTCCCCAGAAAACATGAAGAAACCCTGGAGCCCCGACTTACCAGCTTCTAATCACTCATACAATTTGGCTTTTGCATCCATCTCAGATGTCCCAGACAGGGATAGTGAGAAAGAATTAGCAACTGATAATACTGAAGAAAAGAAGGAGAGAGAAAAGAAGCAGACCAATTTCACTTTGTGCAATGTTTGTAATATTCAGCTGAACTCTGCTGCTCAGGCACAAATCCACTACAATGGTAAATCCCATCAGAAGAGGTTGAAACAGCTCAGCAATGGAAATATCAAAAGTGATAATGGTAAGCATAATCTCTATGTATCTTTGGCTTATGTAAGCTGTGTATGTTTGTCCTTTTTTTTTTTTTTTTTTTTTTTTAATATATATATATATATGAAGCATGTGAACAGTTACATATGCTCCTTGTAACACTGGCTGTTTGGTAACTCTTGAGTCACAGCCTGAACCAGCAAATGATCTGAATGATCACCTGAGGCAAGCACTGAGTCAGCCATGGGAACACAGGTGAAGGCAATTCAGCTGTGTGACCGGAAGGGCTTGAGCCTGGCTGCACCTCTCCTAGACCCCATTTAAAGGCTGACTGCTGCAGGGGAAGGATCTCTTTCTGGAGATCCCTCCTCTGTGGAGTCTTTCCTGCAAACCTAGATCTTCGGATACAGGTGAGCATTCCTCGTCTGTTTGTATCATTTCCTATTTTCACCACGATAATCTTTTCAGCTATAATGCCAGCTGTAACACTGGCTTTGTTCTTATAATTAGCAAATGGGAAATATCCTTGACTTCATTATTTTTCAGTGGAGTATATCTATCTTTCAGTTCTTAGGGCAGGAAGAAATAGATCAGGAGCAATAAAGCTGATGAACTTGGACACAAAGTGCTGAGTCTTAAATATTAAATTTTTAATAATAAAAATATACCTTAAATATATAGCTTAAAGATATGTATAATATATCTTAGGCTTTTTTTTAAAATTATTTTTAAAAATAGGGTTAAAACCAAGTAGTGAGGACTGCTTTTAGAGAATGAATTTAGATGTACTCTTGTGACTTGGTACTACAGAGAACCTTAGTGTGTGTAATGCTCTTATAAAAAAAAAAACTCTTATTGTTGATTTGAGATATATGTTGTTTACGTAGCTATGTAAGTATAAACCTTTCTTTTATTTAGCCAAATCCTTTAATTTAAAGACTGACAGTGACCTCCAAATACTTGGGATCATCACTAATGTGAATGTATGGCAAATAGCTAATCGATATACTCTCTGGTTTGTTCCAAGTATTTTGATTCTAGATTTTGTTTATGTGCTAATGTAGTATCAGATTCTTTGTCAGTCTATTTGTATTTTGATGATTTCATCTGTGATGTTCCATGCTTCACTGTTCACTAGAAATGGTACTCTTATTTATGTTCATAGTTCAAGCATAGAAGAAATACCGCTAACATTAATAGGAGCTGTGCAAGTGCATAAAGTAAGATTGATTTCCTAGATGATTAAAGGTAGAATATCGTTATCCACAAATGTGTTTTTTTTTCCTAAAAACAAATTATCAGTCTAATGTTATTACTATCTTCAGGTAAGGCAGAATTGTATTATCTTTGTTGCTTGCACAGCAATTGTGGTAATGACAAACTATTGTTTTACTGCAATTCATTTTTCTCCTTTATTCCATGGCATTGAAAGAACTAGCAACTAAGTAATACAGAAATTAGTGTCAAAGGGTTTCAATAATGAGACAACATTTCTATTTTAGGGAATATCAAAGCAGTAGCATAGCATCATGTTTCTTATTTCCTTCTTAGAAAGTATCCCTAGCTCATGCAGGGCTGTATGTGCTTGAAGTAAGAACATAATCGGAAGTTTTAAAGTCTTTGCAAAGTTAGGTGCTCTCAGGGATAGTTCCATATTTGAAAAAGTTGGGGGAAAATATTTGTGTGACTGTTCCAGGCTTTATTTCATCACTGAATTACTCCCACAAAGATGGAAGAGTAATAGAAATGGAGGATTGACTTATGTGAAGCAACAGTTGTTTTGTTCCCAAAATATGGACTGCTAATCGGAGGTAGCATTCAGCTGTAATAGCATCTGACAATGTAAATACAATTATCATGGTGTAGTCGTCATCTTCAAACTGTGTGAAGTAACTTTTATATGCTGGCTGTAAATGATAGAACATACACTTGAACAGTTCTGTGTAGTTTCATAAAGTAAATTGCTTAAGCAAAAAGTCTGTTAACATATACAAATATGCATTTAATAAACAGTATTTATTATGGAAGTAAAAGCAGCGTCACCTTGGTGCTATTTTGTTATTAATTTTGAATTTGAAAAACCAGATACACTCTAAAAAGTTTTGGTAGCAAATTTGTTTTTCAGCTTGACTGACTTGCAATTTGAGACCCATGCAGTGCCTTTCTGTGGCACTGCAGCTTCAGAACAGCACATCATGAGGAGTCTAAAAATGAAGTGGTGTAGTAATAAGGGTTTCCTGTGTTATGACTTGGTGCAGTGATTTAGGATAACTTGATAGGGTGTGATGAAACCTCAGCCTGTTACTGGACTCCATGTATTTGAGAGTAATACAGTTTTCTGTGTTCCTTTCTTTTAATTATTGCCTTATATGACGCTCAGAAATGTATTTCACACTTTGTTCAGTGCATCATGCAAAATATTTGTTATTCCTGGTTATTTTTATTTTTCCCTGTGAATTCTCCTACATGTATTAGCAAGGTGACAGGCAATTTGGTAGCAAATTTGAGTAGGTTTTAGGATTAGAGGTGGGTAAAATGCAGTCTAGTCCACCTAATTTGTTTCACTTCTTATAAAACCAATCTGGACATTTTGGGAGGAGGTAAGCTTTTGTGGGAAATAATTTTTCCTGACCAGCAGGACTCAGGAATCAGAGTTCTACTGATAGGATTGGACTAACTGTGGATGCAAATGTATAGCAGGGCCAATGAGGAAGTTGATATTTGTAAAATTTCATGTAAACCTTAATATTCATTGCGCTTCCTGTAGTGTGAATTACTGAATAATTGTGAATGAATGAGGTTTGGTTAGGACAAAAGCAGAAACAGTTGTTACATAATATATTAAGTAAAAAGGCAGTGAAAGCTCAAGAAATGCCACAAAACTCATAAAACTCTATTAATTTTTAATAATGTTCTTTGAAACACAGTTCTGTTAAATATTTGGCAGTAGTTTCTTTATCTAGGTCTGTGGTTATTTACTATTTTATTTCACAACCCTGACAAACAACTATCCAATTTTAGTAACTTTCAATTACGTCATCTTAAATGAAAGCTACCTACAACTTTTTTTCAATGAAACTTTACCTTAATAGAATTATATTGTATTGAGAACAAGGACATTGAGTGCACGAAATAAAGGGAAAAGATCAGATTAAATAATGAAATACTCTTTATACAAATTACTCCTATTCTTTGTACTAAATACTATACTATTACTATACTAATTACAAAAAGAAAATGTTTCATTTCAATGCTAGATGTTAGTTAAGAATGAATAGTAATTTGACTTTAACACTTGAGCTAATGTATACGCTGAGAGTAAGATGTGCTTATCAGACTTTATTTTTGACCACATTCATTTGTTGAGATGATAATTCTGAAATATCTATTGAACTGATATTAATACTCAGGTAAAAGAAAATATTTGATCTTTCACGACATTTTCTGCATCCTAAAACCTAGTAGGAAATCTAGAAGGTTCATCTGAACTGCTTGCAGTGCCTCCTTCCTAGCACTTTCCTGTTGCTAGTTCTTTTATAGGTCTGTAACACTGCTACCTTTTGTGTATCAGGCTCTTTCTTAATTATGAGAAGTGGATGATTTTAGGAAGATAGAATATTATTTTGTTTAAGGTTTAAGTACCAAGCTACATGTTCCTGAGAAATGATGCTATTTCCTCTGTCCATTGCATTATTCTTCCTTTCAGAGAAAGGGGATTGGGTACAGCAGTGAGGAATGGAGAAAATCTTCAGAAAAATTATATCACCCTTCAGAGGAAGAGATTTTCCACTAACTTTCTGGGAAACAAATATTGTCGGATCAATGTGAGAACTTACTGGAAGTCATGAGACAAGTTCCGCTGAAGATAAAAAGAAGTGGCACCATAGCAGACAGTTTTACTTTCTGTTATTTTAAAATTATTTTTTATAATTCTATATCATATTCCAATTCAGAGCCCTGTTGCCAGTTATCCAATATGAATTATCCTTAGGTTTCTGGGTCTCAGATGACAGTGTAGTAAAGAAAAACAGCAAGCTTACACTGGGAGCTTCAATGCCTCCCAAATACTAGAAACCTCCAGAAAATTAGGACTGATTGTGGACAGTGCATAGGTGCATAGTAACTTCTGCTTCTCCCAGGTGTAAATCTTTCTTCTTATTCTGATGCACTTGTCTGGTTTCATCATATTTCTATTTCAGTTAATAAAATATTAATACAGCTCCTACTTTAAAAGCGTGTTTGTTAGCAAGATGTGCTTTTATAGCATCTTTTTATTTGTTGTAGAATTTATTTTGTTTAATTAAAAAACAAATCAGGTGTAACATCATAGTTCATCATAAGGTTGTATCAAACAGTACTGATGTATTGCTGTATTCATTTTAGGAAAATGTCTGCTCACACCAGCCACTTGTTTGTACTTCCCCTGATAAGTTTAGTAGGGTCCATTTGACTCTGAGTATCACAGAATCATAGGTGTTGGAAGGGACCTCTGGAGATTATCTATTCCTACTCCCCTGCTAACACAGACTAAGTTACACAGGAAAGCATTTAGGCAGGTTCTGAATGTCTCTAAAGGAGACTACTACACAGCCTCTCTGGGCAGCCTGTTCCAATTCTTCAAAATCCAGCAGAATAGTAGAAATGGATTGCTAATTATTTAAGTATTTTTTGAAATTTCTTTTTGTTCTGCAAGTGTACTTAAGCATGTGCTTATGTCCTTTGGTGAAGTATGACCTCAAATGATATATTCCTTTCCATCTGTGGTTACAGCTGAATGAAACCTGATGTGACATTTTATTATGAATCAATCTATTTAAGGTACATGAAGAATCTCAACTACGAAAACATCTGCCCAGGGTCTTAACAAGCTCATAAATAGAGATTGATAATATTTATGAATAAGTGGATTGGGTTCTGGTTTTCCTTCTTGTTGTGAGATTACACAGTCTCTGTTAATATATCCTCATCTGTTTGGTATGCCCTCTTTTTGGGTCCAAAGCAAGATGCTTAGCAAACTGCCTCTATACTTAG